CAACTCTTTAAAAAAAAAAACTTACAGGTCTGTGTAGCTGTTGCAGATTTGTCCTCACTTCCTGTCTGGTGATACATTGTCACTAAGTCAGAAAGTGAGGGGAAATCTCTCCGGAGAGAAGTAGAGGATCCTCACAGGGAAAAAGCAGCTTTGCGAGAAACACAAGGCCTCCCTATGTTGTGCTGTCATGAAAATGCCAGTTCCCTGGCTGTTGTACTGATACATTCACTTTAAGTTGTTATAATATGGGCAGTCTTTCCTCTCAGGGTTGGCTATGCGTGCCGTTATTTGGCTGTATCCTCTCCCTGTCATAGCAGAACTGTCAGATACGTTACATATATTAGTGTCTAACATTGCCATTCATTTTGCTAAGGCGACGCAACTCCAATGCACATGTGTAAGCGTTATAGCATTGGAGGGTAATGTGTGCCTGCGTAGCTGTTGCAGATTTTTCCTCACTTCCTGTCTGTAGATACGATGTCACTAGGGCAAAGGGGAAATCGCTCTCTCTCCGGAGAGGAATATGGGATCCTCACAGGCACAGGGCATCCATAGCACTCCTCTACAAGCACATTGTGTGGCAGTGTAAGGGTTGTAGCATTGCGCAGTAACACACTATCATGCTCTGTGGTGCGCTGCATTGCCATATAATTGTGCATGGCCGTTTTTTGTACGTTTTGGTGTGTTGCTAGCCTATTGGAAAGAGGTTTTTTTTTTATTGTTTTCTAGTTCCCTCTTGGAGATTCCTCCTCCTTCCTTCCTGTCCTGGTGAAAATGTCCTCACAAGGGAGGAAGAATTACACTTTAAACCCAGCTGCAGACTAAAGTTTGGGGGTTAGTATGTAGTGCAGAGTTAGGCTTTAAGTGCCAGTTATCAGTGCAGGAGATATGATGTCGTTGCTCTCTGATACGTCTGATCTGACGGGGAGAGAATACAAGTAAGTACCAACAAAGTCATGCAATCCCTAATAAGTCAGGAACGGAGATTTACAATATTATAGATGACCCTGGTGACCGGTTCTCTTTAAATCTGAAAACATTGGTGGGGCTGGAAGGACACCGTAAAGGGACAAATCATTAGAAAGGTTCTTAAAGTGGAACGCCAGGCAAGCCGCTGAATACGCATTTCATCACACATGCATTTTGTTTTATCTGGCAAAAAATTGACAGTTTTGTTCAGCCAGTCTTGTGATTCACACTTCTCCGTCTCACAGCCAAGTGGGGGATGCCATCAACTCCCATTTTAAACTGTGCTTTGTCATTTCCAGCTGTAGCACTGGTTGTTAGACCAGAGTCCCCCTTTAAGTCCGTCCCAGCAGCTGCCCGTCTCTGCACCTGGGCAGGAACTTCGCTTGACAGCCCGTCTGCATCTCTCACCATCGGAGGCCCCACGAGCGAGCGGGAAATGTGGGGGGAGGGGAGTCATGTGAGGGCCCTGCATCTGTCTGCCCCCATAAAGCGCCGGGGACTGACAGCGCTGAGCACATGTGGCACTGCCGCCCTCCGTCATCCACATTCCAGGCTGATTAGGATGCTCACAGTTGCCTAAACGGAGGCTTTGCTGGGGTCGTTAATGTGTGTGCAACTCATTGCTGCCCGTTTGCTGCTTGCACGGCTCTCTACACCTTTACTACCGGCCTCGTGTCCTGCAAGTGGCAGTGCCAGGTCATTAGCATACCTGTGAGATCGGTGCACCTGAGATTGGGCAGGGATAAGGGGCAGCGGTGCTGATAGAGGGCACACGAAGTATACCACACCAAAATAGAAGCCGTGGTCTAAGAAATACATGAGCCGTGGCCAAATCTGGCTGCGGTTTGATTGTGACGGGAGGCAATTATATTTAGGGCTCATTCACATGGGCATGCACATCCGTACACTGTGCACACCCATGCAGAGACCTGCTCGGCCTATCTGCACCTGTGGGCTCCCACCAGGCTCAGGTCGGCGTGTAGCCACATACAGACAGCTGCATGCAATTACATGCTTTACTCTGCTCAGTGGCTTCATGCTGACGTCCTCGCGTATAACGCAGGGCCCGTAGTCTGGCATCGTATATATGGGTATGTCGAGTTGACCGCTAACAACCTAGAGCAGTGGTGGCAAACCTATGGCACGTGTGCCACAGAGGGCACTCTGGTGGCACGCAAGCCTAGGCAGGGGTCTCAAAATAGTTTATTCTACATTTAGTCCTGCTTCAGGGAAATGAGGCTAATTGTAGAGCGGGGAAGCCGATGTTTTAGTACAAGTGATATCGTTAATGCCGCCGGGATCACTTGTAAAACCCCCCTCTGTGGTTCGCCCCTCCCCTCTGGCTGCCTCCCTCGCTGCAAATTTCAGGATGTAGAGCAGACCGGAGAACATCTGTTCTCCGCTCTGCTCCGTGTAACACTGAGACAAGAGAGCTGCACTCGCAGCCTTCCCATCTCAGCTGTCACCGGAGAGCCAGCACAGTGCTTTGCTAGAACTCCTGTATTGGAGTTGACAGGTTCTATAAAGAGAAACATTGTAGAAATGTCACCAGCACACCAGGCCTTTTAAGATGGCAAAAGCTTCATTTATTGAAGTTTTTTGTCATATGACCAAACAAGCGCTTTCGGGGCCACATAGGGTCCCTTCATCAGGCTTTAGCATTGACCATAAAAGAGATACCCGTCTCCTCCAAATGCTATCATACAGGGGCTTGTTAGTCCCTGTGTGATTAGCAATAAAATTTAAGTGGGAAAAAAAAAAGTAAAATAAATCAAATACAAATTAAAAATGTATAAGTGAAAAAAATAAAAATAAGTAAGAAGTCATTTAAAATTAAAAAAATAAAGTGATAAAATAATAAAATCAATAAAATGATTAAAAAATTAAGTAAAATAAGATTAAAATGTAAAAAAGAAATGGTGATTAAAGTAAGAAATACAGAAAATATTAAATGTTTGAATGTGTGTTTCCCTATTTAGCCTAAGGCAGTGTTGCTGAAACCCTGGTGCCCAAACTAAAACACAATACCAAACTTCTGTTAAATGCTGGCACTTTGAAATAAATTGATTTTGCGTCGCAGTTTGGGCACTCGGGCTCAGAAACGTTAGCCATCACTGACCTAGAGCATCGGAGAGAAGAGCTCCAAAGCTGCTGGAGCAAAGAATATAAATATTGCACCATATTCCTCTACCCGTTGACTTACTGAGCATTTAACCCTTGCTTTGAGGAGG